AATCATTATACGACAAGTTCAATGATTGATTGTATCAGTTTGAGCCTGAACAACTGCTTAGGAATTCTCCCAGATAGTTTGTTTGCTGAAAGGTCAATACTCCGCATAAAGAATTGGCTTGTCTAGTATTCTAATTCTTGACCCTTTGTATGCAAATTACTTCTGAGTTTAAATGGGATTGCAAAGCCATCTGATAATGGTAGACTGGCAGGCATCGTTTGATGATCAACGGATCATTCAAAGATGCTAAAACCATGCTGGTTAAATTGTGAAGGCAATAAGGTATTGATCCTGAAAGCTTGTTATGTGCGAGATCCAAAATAATCAACATAGAGAGGCTACATAGCTGTGAAGGAATGTTGCCTGTAAATTGATTAGATCTCAATTTCACTATTGATACATTTTGCGGCATCCATTTTGGTATGCTCCCAGAAAAATTGTTTCCTTCCAGATTGATGGGAATAAATCGTCGGGGGAAGAAAACTCTGAAGTCTGAATCCAAATACTAAAACTTGTATTTCTGAGAAGCAAGGAATTTGGCGGGAATCATGTATCTTCTTTAATTTCTTGATCCGAAGGCCCATTTAAAATATTTGAAGAATGTGTCAGTCTTTAAACACTATTAATATTGCCGGGACGATATATTTATCTTCTATAATTCTTTCATTAGCAGTCACAACTTCCTTGTATTTTAGATATTCCTCAAATTAAAGTCATATATCAACTATAATTTCCACTCTTACGAAAGTTTGCAAATAATCTTTTGGCTGGGGCTTCCTTCAATTAACTCGTTTAGTTAGTGATTTTTTTTTTGGGTATTACGTGTCAAATAATCTATATATGAAATATTTGTACTGTGGGTTGAATCCTAAACGGTTTATGACCTCTGGATGTTAGGATTGGATCTGAGACATAGAAATTTCTGTTACAAGGTCAATGCAGGGGCAGCTGAGAGTCCCAATGGGTATGGAATTGCTATTGTTGTGTTCAGTTAATGTTTTACATTTATGAATAACTGAATTGCTGACATTGTCTTACTTCTCAGCAAAACTCGGAAAAGTAGCTGGGCCGGTTGTTCTTTACGAGTACGCGAGTGTGGTCAAGGACTCTTGTGATCCAAGTACATTTATCAGAGGTCCCATGCTTCCTTCTCAAGCTGTTCACCTTGCTTATTGTTACCACAGATCGAGCTCTGGAAATCAAGAAAGGTCAGCTACAACAGAGTCTGATAAGGGTGTATCTGTGCAAGCCAAACATGCGCATTCTGAAGTTCGTGCCAAAATAGCTCCAAATATAGCTATTAATATTGATAAAAACCCTTTTTTATGACACGGGCAGGAGTGAGCGGCATCGAACAGGATAATCAAATAGCTATGGACACGAATTTAATACCGACAAAGGCTCAATATGGTCAGATTGGTGCCACCACAATGGCAACTACTGCTCATAGAAAGGTTGGTCCTGTTCAGTATGGCACGACTGCTATGTTTTAGGAGTTATCAAGTGGATATTTCAGCTAATGAGGGAGAAATCGTTGTAGAGAAAAGTCCTTTATGGGGGAAGGCACTTAGGTCTCTCATAGGTTCTGTAAAATAAGGGTGAGCGAGGCCGTGAGGCAGCCATTCCCTTCGAAGAGCCTGGTTTCTTTGGTCAAGAGATGCTTTAGAATTTGGTAAGAAGCTGCATAATTAGAATTGACTCCTACTTATTGAGATCCTCTTTCATATCCCCCCTTCCCTCTCTCCACTCAATTATGATTAATAAGATGGATGAATCGTATGCAAATCTTTAGTATTTGTTATGAAGTTCCCTAAAGAGTGTCAGGAAAATTTAATCTGTGTTTTTTCCTTGGAGTTTTATGTATTCTACTAAGAACTATGTTTGACTCTTTAAAATTAGTTTATTAGCAAGAAAGATAAATCACTGAAATGTGAAATTTTCAAAATAGTTCCGTGGCATAATTTTTTATTTTTTTCCCCAAGGGACTTCTTAGACATTAGATTTTATCGCCAGATGACCATATTATCTGAACCCCCCCAAAAAAAAAACACAAAAAGAAAAGCCTCCGTTGACTGCCAGTTGCCACTGGTGGCGACGTTTCAGCGGTCAGAATCTGGCATCGGCCAACGTCAGTGATTGTAAATTATTGAGAAGGGGGTGACATTAAAGGGAAGCAGTTATTGATCTCAAGAATCTCTTCTTTTTTTTTATTTGGAAAAAAAATTGTGGTCGATATGTCATTTTATAACAAAAATTAATGTCGGTGTTGGTGTTTATGGACTTGGGATTGGGAATTATGTAGGAGTATTTGGAGATTTCCGGGGTACATTAAGCTTATATTGTGGGCAATTAGTGTAATTGTGCTTTAGGAATGAAATTGAGTGACTGACTGACTCATTATTGTACATTTGCTCTTCTCCAACACTTCATCGTCATGGTGTCAATAAAATAATTGAAAATTATTATTATTTTTATTTATGTCCAATTTTCTTAGGAGATCAAATGAACTTCAAAAATAGGAAACTTTTTTGTTTTTTCCTAACCAAAAGTAGTGTGGTTGCGTGTTACGGTATTAGTGCATCAAGGATGCTTCAAAAAAGCGACGTTCTGTGACTTTCGTCTTTGGGTTCGGTCCCATCACTCTTGAAATGGCCAACATGGATGTCTCCTCAAGAAATGTCATGGGAATTTTTTTTTTTAATTTCTTTTGGCATATTTATAAGAAATTTTTTACAAAAGCATATTATTATATAAGTTTAGTGTTGTGAAAACCTATTAAAATATTATTACTAAATCTGATTTAAAATTTAATCGTTCCGAACTTCTTTTCATAAAATTTTCCTTCAAACAAATGATGTGTAGAGGGAGGATTTGGTATATTTAAGTGTGGAAGCTAGTAATAAAATAAAATATTTAAGTGAGGAAAAAGATTAAATATTTGTCCATTTATTTTACTCAGATTATTTTTATTGGGCTGGATAAAACAAATATTGCATTAACTACTTAATAGCTGATAAAAGGGAGAAAGACCCAAAACAAAAAAAACTCTAAAAATATATAAATTTTAATTTAGGATCCTGAAATGATGACCTGACTACTTTGAAGTGTTTCAGAGTTTATTTGAGATTACAGAGAGCAAGATTACATATGCGCCTTTCATTTGAAATCCTTGAATTTCATAACAAATAACAATTTTTGTATAACCAATGACAAGAACAATATAGCTAATGACAAGTTCTATATGCTTTTGCAATGACAAGATTAAGTAGAAAATTGCTCAAGGATGACAGGAACATCTTAGGGAATAAACTTTTTGCATAACAAATGACAATGATAATGATAAATTTTTAATTTTGCTCTGTTAACAATGTTAACCTCTGCATAGAGACTAAAAATATTAATAGAACAAAGTCATAAAAGCTTATGTTGCTAAAAAAGAGAAATTAAATAATTTAATTAAGAGGAAAAAAACAAATAGATACCAAATTAAAAATTGAGAGAAAGCATAGGTAGGTTCAATATGGTTTTCCTTAAAAATAATTAAAAACATTAAATTTGTTATAAAATTCAAGTCACCTTATTACCTAGAGGGAGTATTAAGAACTTCAGAGCAATTTGTCCATCTTAAGATGTAAATGGAGATTTGCATATTGTTAGGGTATTTTCCAGTCATTCTCGCTTGAGAAAATGAGATTAAGTGGCCTCAAAAGGAGATGAAAATTGGAATACATTGAAGGTCAAGGACCTCAGTCTTAGCTAAACGAGTTGTAAATCCTTACAAATGAATTGTGAATTGCTAAATATAAGTTGCAAATTACAGGATATCAGTTATAAATTTTAAAAAAGAGATGTTCATGATTTCTATGAAGTTGGAGTCTTGAGTTCCTAAAAATCATCAAATGTCAATTGTAAATTGTGAAGATTAGCGGTACGAAGACATAATTAACCAACAGTTATGATGATTAAATGAATTGGGCCGCGATAGATGTCTGAAAATCTTGGACGAGTCTAGACTCTCCATGATCGATTGGCCTAGTTTATTAGGACAGAATAATGTAACTTTTATAGATAACGATTCTATTATCATGCATGAACGAGAGACATGTAATTTATAGATTTTTGAGTCTTTTGTGAATTGTGATTACGGAGATGTGATCATATGACTAAGGAGATCGACTTCTGAATTTAGCGTCTGGCAATGCATTCGAGACTCGACTTTTGGGACAATGAGAAATGGGGAGTTTCATAATTTGCTGAATTCTGGGAAAATCTTGTCCGTCCTTGATTTTCTCGGAGACTGAAGCATTTATCAGTGACTCATTCTTTTCGAGTTTGAACACCGACGCTGTCCTCCGGTTTTATTAGTTTCTCGTAAGAAATACTTCATCGTTGTTGTTTGGATGGTGAGATGTGTGATTCTTCTTACTCTCACCTTTATGTAAATCTCTTTCATGCCCCCATAACCCCCCCTCCCAAAAAAAAGATTTGGCAAATTAACCAATTAGCATTGTCGTTTTACTATTTTTAGTATCTTAGCCGATTTATCGCTCAGGTTGCCGTTCCTTGTTCTTCCAGAACTAACAGTGGCGGATGATACGGTTGATGATCAAACCGGCGGGGAATTTTCTGATCTTGACGTACGCCAGAGCGACGGTCACGTCGAGGAATTGATGAAAAGGATCGATGCATTGGAATGTGAGAGAGGTGGATTGGCGAATGAAATTGCAGGTAGGAAGACCGAAATCAATAAACTGACGCAAGAGATTGACGGCTTGAGAGAAGATGAATCGAAGATGCGAGAGAAGATTGAAGGTTTGGAGAGAGGGTTCGAACGGTCTGAGGTGGCCAAGAAGCCAGTGCAAGCTATGGCGGCGAGAAGGGCCGACCTCGAGGCCGAGGTTTTCAGGCTTAATCGTGATTAAATATCTGTAAAGAGTGCTGCTGAGGGATCTAGAACAGAGTGCGCTAAATTGAGGAGCGTTTTGGAAGAGAGAGAATCAATGGTGTTGGATTTAGAGTGTGAATTAGAAGGGTTAAAGCAAGCAAAATTAGAAATCGACAAGAAGGCGAAGGACTTAGAGAGGAAAACTGGGGTTGTTGAGATGAAGGAAACTGAGGAAAAGGCAAGAAAATTAGGGTGTTGGAGGAGTTGAGAGAGGAAATTGGGGAGAAAGAGAAGGAAATTTGTGGTTTTAGACACAGGCTTGAGGAGTTGCAAAGGGTTGTCCCAGAGCAGGGATCTGTATTGGAAGAACAGCTAAATCTGGAGGAGGCACTGAGAGAATCAGAGGAGAAAACAAGAAGCATGGAATCAAATATTTTGAAACTGCAGGAGACAGTTAAGGAAGCAAAAGACATTATCAAATCTTTGACGGAGAAAACTAATGAGGCAGTCAATGAAGCTGTGAATGGAATGGATAATGAAGCAAAGGCAAATGGGTTGAATGGGTTGAAGCCGCAGTGGCCTGTGGTTGCAGCATCTACTGGAGCTATTGCTGCAGCAGCTGTTGTTATCTTTGTCTGCTATGGAAAGCGTAGGTGATTTCCCTGAGCAGAGGAATAGAGGAAGGAGGAACTAGGAATTGGATGACCAAGGTCAGCCCAAGTAAGGATTTTCCATTTCTAGTAAGAAGAATACTTCAATTTTGTTATTCATAAATCTAATGCTTTTATTCAACAGGGGAAAAAGAACTAATGCTTTCTGGTTTTTATTTTTTTTCCTTGAGCTAATAAAATTTTGATTCATATCTGCATGTTAGTTGGTGGTTGAGAGAACTAAAACCATTTGCGTACAGGAAGAATGCCCTGCCTTGACTTACAGCAAGCAGTAGGTTTTCGTCCTGCTGAAGAAGAGCACGATGATGTGCTTTCTAATCCGTAGGTTTGCTTCAGTAATAATGGCGGTCATACGACCATTTGAGATTAAATTAAACTAGTAATTATATGCCTTATCTAGTGTAGCCAAATATTGAGCTTGGTTGGAAGCATAATGAAGGTGTAAGTAATCTATGCTTGCATCACCTCTTTATCAGTCTCTTCAGTTTTTAAAGTCATCTTCTATTAGTATAGTTTTTCACATTAAATAATTTTTTTTTTAAATTTGGCTTTTGGTGCTGGTGTTTGAGGCCTTATTGAGCACAAAAAGGGGCACTTCTCCTAATATAGGAGATTCAAACCTTGGTGGACTAGTCCCTTCCACTAAGAATATTATGTTTTGATAAAAAATGCTTGTAGTTATTGATAGACTGGTAAAAAAATTCTTCTTTTTTTTGGGGTTCATTCCATGCTATTAAAATATTGTTTTTTTTTCCTTGTATAAAAAACATTGTTATTCACACTGCCAAATTTATTAACAAAATGGATGATCTGGTCTGTGATATGAATTTTGGGCGTATAAGGGCAAGATGATCATTTTCCTTTGAATGGCTTTTCTTGTTCTATAGCCCTAAAAAAGTTCCAACCACAAAATATTCTCAAGATGCATGATTGCATCCTCAGTGGACCTCTTCAAGGAATTCAATGTGTGCTAACTTTGTGCAATACCATGAAATATATTCTCTTGATGCTAAATATAAAATTAACTAGTTTGCATGAATTAAAAAAATTAATTCAATTAATTATTTGTAAAAAAATGTGTTGATTTTTTTAAAACACTTATCCTGTTACATATTTATATTAGAGTGTAATCAACATAGCTATAGCGATATTTTGAAAAAAAATATAGTAAATACGTGAGATAAAAAAACATTAACATCTTGTGTTTATAATTAAAACAATATTCTTAATTTAGATTGGACAAGGTAGAAAGATATTATATCAGAACTAGTTTATTTCGGCACTTGAAATCTCCTTGCAAGAATGCCATGCTCTATGTGAAATCTAACCCCAAAGACTAGATGATCATTATATCTTGCCAGGCATTTCCAATTTGTCGAGCTGGGATCCCAACCGAATGGGTCTAGGGAATATATCGCAAGCCAACTTTGTACAATATTTTTGAGATGATGCATAATTGAGGTTAATTTAGAACTAGCAATTAACCTTAATCTTAAAGGCTCATTATATGTCACATTCTACGAATCATGAACATCATAACAAGAATAGCATACTTCAAATCAAAATTATATCTGAACTCATATTTTTCACTAAAAAATAGCACAATTGGGAGATTGACTAGGAACATGAAACCACATCATAGAAAAATCCGACATACCAAATTTGCGTAAATTACCAAATCAAGCAGCAAGTACAGAGACAGACACACATATTACAGAAAATCACCAAACTTGGACAGCCCCAAACTTTTGAATACTTATTGAAGTTGCGGCCATTTATCAAAGCTTCATCTAAAATTCCATTGATCAAAGGGCTTAAGCGCCGAATCTTTTGGGACTCATGCGAGTCTTGAAAATCTAGAATCAACCACCTATTGCTTAGAATAACAAGCATGAATAATATGAGTTCATTCTGCCACAATCAGAACTGAAAAAGATCTTTTGAGTGTGAGTTTCTTTTTAAAATGACAATTAACTTGTAAAGAGAAAATGAAAATCTAAACTTTTGGATCATAAATCTAAATGTTGTTTTGAAATATCAATAACTTTTAAAAAAAGTTAAAGTATATTTTTGGCCCTTTAACTTTATGTAAGATTTTAATTTTGTACCTTAACATTATAAATTATATTTTTAGTTTGTTAACCCTAAAACTTTTAACAAAGAAAAAAAATAATGATATTGAGATCTGGAATGCTGAAATAACATTCTTAAATGTTAATATACGAAGTTTAATAACTATGATTGTTACAAAAAGAATTATCATATAAGATTTTAGTGTTAAAAATATACTTTTTAAAGTTAAAGAACCAACTTAAAGTCTTGCATAAAATTAAAGAACCAGTCATATAATTCTGCCTTTGAAAAATGACGAACATGATATACGGACACTTAAATATTTTAAAGATTGATTTGGGCATTTTAATTGTTTTAGAATAAAAGACTAACAACTTAATTTCTTTTAAACAGTTGAAATTAGTCGTTGCATTCATACATGGGCGGAGCCTTAACTTGCATCATGCATTTGATTTAGGAAGCAACAAACAAAAAAATGAAATCATTACAACACTACTGATGAATTTGTGTAGAAATAAAAGTTATTATGAAAAATAACTTTAGATTTAAATAGATAGAAGTATAATTTTATAACCAACCTGGAGTTGCAGCATATTCCCATTCAGCGGAATTTTTGAAGCTTTATGGCGACAATAACATAGATTCGATCAACCACACCATTAAAAAATCGAAAATAAGAGTGCCTCCATGCTCTGTTCAGGACTAGTGAACCACAAACTACCCAGAATCCTACAGCAAAGCCAACTCCCATTCCAAGATACAATGACTTCAAAAAACCATCATCCTCATTTTCTTCAACTTTCTCTGTATTATCTGGTATTGTGCAGTGCTTTTGAAGAGGAGGCCCACAAAGATCAGGATTTCCGGCGTAACTCCATGCATCAAAACTCTGAAGCTGAGTGCCCAGTGGAATTTGGCCGCTGAAATGGTTGTACGACAGATTCAAAACATCGAGAAAAGATAGACCGGACATGCTCTGAGGAATATTCCCATGAAGATTGTTGTGGGACAAATCAAGAGATTCTAGATCTTTCATCTCTCCAATCTGCTCTGGTATCTCTCCTATCAAGTAATTGTAGGACAAGTTCAGTGATTGTAACTCGGTGAGCTTGAACAACTGTACAGGAATTTCTCCTGATAGCTTATTAGCTGATAGGTCAACACTTCTCACGAACTTTAGAGTTTTCCCATACTCTAATTGTTGACCCTTTGTGTGCAAATCAATTTTCATGAATTCTTTTGCAGTTGTAAAGAAATCATTTGATACTAGACCGGGTAAAACATTTGTAAATGAAGGCAAACTGGTCGCGTTGTGTAGACAGTGAGGGATTGATCCAGAAAATTCATTATTAGCAAGGTCCAATATCGTCAAGTTCAAGAGACAACATAGTTGTGGCGGAATGTTCCCCGTAAATTGATTGGATCTCAATTTTAGAATTGATATATCTTGGGGCATCCATGTTTGTATACCTCCAGAGAAGTTGTTTCCTTCTAAATTGAGAAGCACCAAAGACATGCAATTATTGAAAGTCGAAGGTATATCACCCAAAAAGCTATTATTATGTAGATCTAGCGCCTCTAAGAGAGGTAATGATGAACCCATCATTGGTGGAACTCGACCGGTCAACTGATTATTCCCCAAGTATATGTAAGACAAGTTCCCCCATTTGTTCCAACAATCTGGAAGTTTTTGAGTGAGATAATTATTTGATAGGTCCAAATACTGTAAAACAAACTGATTAATCTCAGAGTGACATAATAAAGTATCTAAAGGTCCCGAGAAATAGTTGTAAGATAAATCCAAAGCTTGGACCCAATTTGATACTCGAGGAAGCCTTCCTTTAAATTTATTAAATGACATAAATATTTTCAAACCTTTCCGCCAATTTTCTAACGTTTCCGCTCTATTTGAGGTGGCAGACTTATTTTGGCCAAGAATGTTTGGGAGCGGACCACTCAAGTGGTTGATGCTAATATCTAAATAGTCTAATGAAGCTGATGCGTTTAGGAGATTAGAAGGAATGGAACTGTGAAACGAGTTATTAGATAGATCAAGGATAGTTAGGCTATCAAGCTGGCCAAGCCACTCAGGTATTGACCCCTTGAGTTTGTTGTTAGATAGATCTAACCGCCATAGATTTCGATAGCCTGAAAGATCTGGAATTTGACCTCTCAAATTGCATTGACTGAGTTGAAGATCAAAGCCATCATGATCTTTGCTAAGATTGAACAACCATTTAGGTAATCCAAATGCAAAATCATTCAGACTAAGATCAAGAGATGAAAGTGAGGTAAAATTGGCAAGCTGGAAAGACAGAATAGAGGTGGTCAAATTACAATCAATCAAAAATAGTTCCACCAGAGGCAGCGAGGCCAATGATTGAACCCAATTGGTTTCACTAGGAAGATGAATGCCACCGAGGTCGAGAAATATCAGGGACGGAAGTCGAGAGAGCCAATAATGAAGATTATCAGCGTGGAGATGAATATTGTGTGATAAATCCAGATAAGAAAGCTTAGAAGAATTGGGTAGCAAATGGGTATGAGTTGCAACAGAATTATTGATAGGCGCCATGCTTATGCGTTCAAAGTCATTGCCGTCCAAATACAACCATTCGAGAGATTCAATAGCAAGTAAAGAAGATAAGTTGATTTCACCTCTCAGTAATTCTGAATCCCCGTCGTCCCACAGAGAAAGGCCAACGACTCTGTTGTTGCGATCACACTGAACTCCATGCCATTGGCAGCAATCTGGGAGAGTGGACCAAGAAGAGAGGCGGTTGGAGGGATCAACAACGCCTTGTTTGAAGCTTAAAAGTGAACGTCGGTCCCTCTCATGGCAGCAAGTGATTGTGTTGAATCTCACTGCACATAGCAACGCCAACAGAATCAGAATCAGAGACAGTTGTGACATCATGAAACTGTATCTTGAAGTGATGAAGCAGCGATCGAAACGGTTCCTTGAAATATTTATATAAGCACCCGTGGATTTTTTTTAATTTTAATTTTTTTTAAATTTACGTGAAGTTTCATTTTAGTACTTGAAATTTAAAAAACATATTTTCAGTTATTTAGTTCTAAAACCATTAACAAAAAATAATAATATTGGGATTTTAAATATTCATAAGAAATTCTAAAATTTAATATAATTTTCAAAACAATCATACTTATTACAAAAGATTATCATTTAAAACTAACGATTATTAGATGACTAAAACTATACTTTTTAAATTTAATTAAAGGACTAAACTAAAATTATGTATATAGTTAAAGCATTAGACATATTCTTTAGCCATTAATTTTTTTATAGAAAATTTTACATTAAATTGTTTTTTTCCCTAATTAAAAATAAATTGCGTGATTTTTTTTCCTTCAGTTATTAAGACAAATTTCTCTTTATTCTCAAAATCTAAAAAACTATGCCAAACAAAAAACATAAAATACAACAACTTGTTCTAAATGTTTTTGAAGATTTAGTTCTTCCCATTTTTATGATAAGTTGATTTTGAAGGTGGATGGGAGGTTTGCATGATTTAAAACAAAAAAATATTGAAGGAGAATGATAAAATTAATTCTGTTTTCTTTTTTTGGGAGTAAGGCTGATAAAAGCACTTAAAAATAGAATGAAAGTTATAAAATTTTTGCAAAATTTAAAAGAATTTACATTAATGCTAAAAAATAGAAGGAAACACTCTACAATTTTCTCAAAAATATTTGTATAGCTTACTCTTTTTATTTTTTTTTAAAAGAGAATAGATGGAGATTGATATGAAGTTTTTTTTTTTTAAAAAAAGAGAATAGAAGGAGATTGATATGAAGGTTTATAAAAGCACTTAAAAATAAAATGAATATTTGTATAATTTCAGCAAAATTTAAGAGACTTTACATTTAGTTCTCAAAAATAGAAGAAAAATCTTGATGAGTTCCCGTTGCTTTTCAGTTATGACTTTTTTCTCAGGAAATTGCTATGAAATGGGTAAATAGTTAATACCCATCGAACACGAAACGCTACAAGTGACTCGCTATTCTTTGTGCAATTAATAAAATATTTCTAAACGCTAAAATATTAAGTTTAGTTTTTTTAAAATAATAATAATTGGCATACAAAATTATTATGTGAGACCTAAGATTTTATTAAATTAGGATTAGAAGGTTAAAGATATTTTATAAAATTAGGAGACCAAACTAAAATTTTATTTCAAGTCAGATGACTAAATATACTTTCTTTTTCTTTTTTTTACCAAAGATTAAATATACACTCTTATAATTTTTCATCACTAAAATCTTCCCTGCCGAGTGAACCTGAAAGTATTTCCCAGCATGTGTTTTAATGTGTGTGTCTGTTTATATATGTGTGTGTGTGTGTGAGAGAGAGATACTTCAATAAAGTTGATCGATTTCATTTAAAAAAAAAAAAGAAATGTAAATTCTGAAATATATTATATGAATTCTAAATCGTTGAGGGGGAAAAGACTATGAAGTCTGAATGTAAATACTAAAATTTGTATTTATTTGAAAAGGAATACTAGGGGAATCATACACTTATCATGAAATTTGTAATGCTATTAACAAATTTGGTATAACAGTTAATAATAAGTTATCCAAAAAATTTAAAAAATAGCACTTTTACAACTTTAATAACGCGATTAACAAGTTCTATAATGCTATTAGTACAAAATAATATATTAAATATGAAATTTGATTTCTTTTTTACTTAAATATTATCCTCTTACTTTTAGACGTTAAAATGTTTATTTTGAACGAATTTTAATTATTTAATTAAATTGAACCGTTTGGTTTTATTAAGAATATTTGTTCCTTTGGAATCCAAACCATTCTAAAATAGAAATCTTGTTCTTCTTAAATAAATAATTAATATCTATATTGTTTTTTTTTTGCTTTTTCCAAAATTATATTATATAAACTTAATTAGTCTTCATATATAATGAAGTTCTCATTGCTCGCTCCCACATTTTCCTAAACACATATTGCAGAGTTTTTGGAATAAATAATGAAGCTTTTGTTTTTCTCTCTGTTTGTTTGTTGGGGTATACGTGTGTCATTTTTATGTGGTGAACTTGCTTTTTGGTTGTGTTTAAGCTTTTTGAGGCCTTACTGATCGATCTTTATTATTTTATATAGCTTCATGAATTTTTTAAGAATCTTCAGCAGTTCCCATTGCTTTTGAATTACTTTTTCTCAAGAAATTGCTGTGAAATGAGTAATAATTGTATAATGCCCCGTCCACCGCCTTTTTGGATTGCTATGAATTACTCCTGATCAGTTCTCATTGCTTTTGAATTATTTGTTTTTATCTGCGTTAAGACTGAATTATACTAGCTTCGATCACTAATATAAGAGTTAGTTTGACTTTGATTTTGGTTCTAAATATAAGATTCCAATCCATTTTATCTCTTATATTTATCTATTTGTTTCAAAGCAGTCACTGTAATAGTTACACATATTAAAAATTCTATCAAATAGTAGTTCTACTAATAATTGGTATTCTAGGATATTCAACTTATATTTATTATAAATAACTAACTTAACAAACTTTTTTAATTTACTCGAATTAATTAACTAACTTTTATATCAAGTAAGAAGTAACGGATGTAATAAATATAACATGATTTGGATTGATTTGGAGACAATTATTCTCTTCCATTCATTGCTTCTACCCCACCCATCATCCGCGCTCGAATTTATATAATTAACAGCAAAATCGAAATGACACGAACAATTGGTAATCAAAAGGGACAGACGCATACATTGACACGCTATAGCTCGATTCAACTTTCCATGAATGTTACCCCCTCCATTTCTATTTATAAAAAACACTTCCCCGAAAAGGGCATGTTTCTTTTATACGAGACACTTTGAAGATATTTTTAAAAAAAATAAATTACATTTTTTGCTTATTTATTGTTTTTAACTAATTTTCTGACCAACATGTTTTGATTAATTGTCTCTTATAATAAAAAATGAAGGGAATAGTATTTTTGGCAATTGAGTGTTTAAATGAGTATTTTAAAGATGAGGGTCAAATTTAAGAGTCAAATTTAGTTCAAAATATAAAATTTCAGTTTATTTTGTCTTTTATATCAAATGAATCGCCACCGTCGATTGCCGCGGCAAGGTATCCAGATTCTTGAGTGTCCGCGCACAATGATAAACATCTCTAACAATCCATGCCGCTGTATTAAATACAGGCATGTGATATTTTCTCCGTTTAATTTCACCCATATAATATTTTACACCGTAATGTCTTTTTCTTTTTCCATCTCTCCTTGCTAACATAAGAGCTAGTTAAGGGTCAAATTTAGTTCAAAATATAAAATTTCAGTTTATTTTGTCTTTTATATCATTTTTTCCTAGCTAATTTATCTAACTTATAAGTTGATATAGAGTCTAATTTTACAGAGGATTATTTTGGAGGGATTACATCACATTTCTAAAAATTAACTAATTTATCTTTTTTTTAAGCTATATAAATTAGTTAAACAGCTCTTATATAAAAAAATTAGAAGAAGTAAGATTTATTTGTCATCAAAGTAATTGGATAAAACATCCGTGATATCAAATGAATCACCACCGTCGATTACCGTGGCAAGGTATCCTGATTCCTGAGTGTCCGCGCACAATGATAAACATCTCTCACAGTCCATGCCGCTGTATTAAATACGTGCATGTGATATTTTCTCCGTTTAATTTCACCCATATAATATTTTACACCGTAACGTCTTTTTCTTTTCCTATCTCTCCTTAGTGAAGGATAAAGTTGTCAAGTAAATAATTAATATTTTATTGAAATTATAGAATGACCATTGTTTGGAAACAAAGCTAAGCACCCAAAATTAATAAAACTTACAGCAAAAAACTAACATAAAAAGGCCTGCGACTCTGTTATTGCGATCACACTTAACCCCAACCCATTGGCTGCAATCTTGGAGAGAAGACCAAGAAGAGAGGAGATTGGAGGGATCAACAACGCCTTGTTTGAAGCTTAACAGTGAACGTCGATCCCTCTCATGGCAGCAACTGATTGTGTTGAATCTCACTGCACATAGCAACACCAACAGAATCAGAGGCATTTGTGACGTCCAATGAAGAATCATCATGAAACTGTTTCTTGAAGTGATGAAGTAGTGATCGAAACGGTTCCTTGAAATATTTGTATGAGCTCCTGTGGATTTTTTTTAATTTAAAATTTTTTTGAAACCATATTAATTTTTGGTTAAAGTATATTTAGTCTATATAAGGTTTTATTTTGGTACCTTATCTTTATCTTTAAAAAGTATACTTTTAGCTATTTAGTTCTAAAATCATTAACAAAAAATGATAATATTAGGATCTCAAATATTGATAAAAACTTCTAAAATGATAATATATCATGTTTAATTTTCCAAATAATCATGATTATTACAAAAAATTATCATTTAAAACTAAAAATTAAAATTAAATAACCAAAAATATACTTTTTAAAGTTAATTAAGAGATCAAACTGAAATTTTATATATAGTTAAAGACTAAATATATTTTTTTACTATTAATTTTTTTACTAGAAAATTGTACATCCACCTCGCTAAAATTAAAAAGAAAAAATAAATTGCGTTATTTTTTCCTTCAGTTATTAAAACATATTTCTCTTTATTCTCAAAATCTATAAAAATATTCCAAGCAAAACAAAACATAACATATATGGACTTGTTCTAAATGTTTTTCAAGATTTAGTTCTTTCCATTTTCATGACAAGTTAATTTTGAAAGCGGATAGGAGCTTTGTATGATTTAAAAGGAAAAAAAAATTTGAAGGAGAATGATATAATTAAATCTCTCTGTTTTTTTTTTCAAGGATGGCTGATAAAAGCACTTAAAAATAGAATGAAAGTTAGTAAAATTTTAGCAAAATTGAAAA